TTGATTCAGCTGTACCAAGCACGCTTCCACATTTATATGGCGAACGGCTATGGAGTGGAATTCCCAGCCTGCAGATTTGTTCCCTGAACGTTATAACTTGGGTCTTTTCAAGGCGAGAGTGAATAGGCATTACTTAGGTGTGCATGTTCCATCGTCGACCTCATCGTTAATTTCCTGGATCGTTAATTTAATGGAGGTCAAATGCGCACTTATATTTTATAAAAAAAAAAGGTGCATAATAGTTTTTGATCAATCAAGCAATGCAAGCATTTAAGCTAATGGTATTTAATGTTGAAAATGCAAGGTTGCTCGAATTATGTGTCCGGGACTATATAATACGTCATATTTATATAATATAAAACACAAATAGGTGTTCATCGATACCTCCAAGGAACACTACACCCAATAATTTTTTTTTACCTTTTCTGTTTCTATTTTGTTTTTTGTTTCTTTATTTTCTTTTACATAAAATTCGTTTGTTTCTTTAAATTTGTTTTGTGTTTCTTTATTCTTTTTCCAAATTCGGAAAGAATGATATTAGTATAGTTATTTTTGATACAAGTGCGGAAAGTTACTCATTATTCACGAGTCTCGAGACTAGTGAAAATGACAAATCCGCACGTGTATCAAACGACGTTTTTTAATACATTTGCGAAAAAAACTACGTTTTTTTTATTTTATTTTTATTTATGTATGTTATTCTTTGTACAGACAGCAGCATACACATATTGAGGCAATTTTCGAACAAAAATGTATAATTATCAAATGTGTCGTGAGCCATGTTATAGTGGAGTTATTTCGCAAAATAATAAAACCAATAAATAATTTATAGCTTGATGTGTTTTGACTGTACCTTACTTGTGAAAGGTAGTACTTAAGTATCTCAAAAGTTTTTGGAAGTAAACGGCTCAAATTCAAACCTCTATCTACGTACATCCCCAACTACCACATGTAAGTACTAATGAGACTGTACACTGATAAATAATAAGCATTAGTAGCAGTAGAGCTCCATGAGAAAGATTTCACTCGCAAATAAATTTTACTAAAAAACTACATATTCAAAAACGTATAAATAATCAGGCGTGCTAATTATATAATATTGGCAAATACCGCGGACGAATTCTAGAAAGAAAAACATAAAGAACGAAATACAACAAATTACCGGAAAAAATTAAGAAATACAGTCGCTCCAATTATTGAAAAAGAAATTAAAATTCCACATTATAAAGAATTTCACGGTAAATTCTTCACATGAAATTCCTCATAATGTGGAATTTTAATATAATTATCTCTCAATTTTGGTGCTTTATTTCTATATGTAATTGCTATTAAAGTATGTAATTGCAGTTAACAACACACGTCTTAACCCTCAGATTTAAATTGAACTTTATGCCACTTGTGAGAGCGGTATACGATCCAGTGCTCCTGTCTATGGTATTTAGACGGTGTCTGTCTACTCATATTTATTTATTAATATTTTTGACCAAATAAAAAAAATTCTTGAGTGATATGTAGCAGAACCTCTATAGAAAACATTTTACAGCCCCCGCATGTCAACTAACAGCTGGAATTTTATTTAAACAAGCGAATACTTACTTTGCACGCCAGCGCTACGAGCCTGAAAAAAAAATATACTAAATTAATAAATAATTTTAACAATATGTATTTTATTAAATTGAATTTATTATTAATTAATAACGGAAATTAGAATAAATTAAAACATATTAATTAGTACTGCAGTATTATATCTGCTTGGCTACTGAATTACTGGTGGTGGTACGAAAAAACCGTCTTCCCTGTTGAACAAATGTACGCTACTTAGATCCGGAAAATAGTTTCATTTCATAAGTGTAACAATCGCGAAAACCAAATAACTCGATATATAATAATATAATACGTATCTTTTCACAGTTATCATTCACAATAGTTATATAAAACAACGTAGGTAGTAACAACCCGAAATAGCTAATTTGTGGTATAAGATATCTACAAATTAATTACATATTTAAATCCTTAATTTTTTTACATTAGAAATACCATTTGTAATCTCACTCACTGCAAGGATTTAACTTTGATGGATTACCCGAATTGAGATTAGATAGCTCTTGTTTACTTAGTTTTATTATCTTAATGCTTTTGGTGATTAATTAATGGGATTAATTTTAAGTGTTTTAAATAAATTAAATACTTCAAACCGGAGAGTAGACGCCTGGGGATCCTTACCTAGCGGCAGCAGTACCTATATGTATGAATCAAATATCATAAAGGTACTAATTAATTTAATGTACCATTAAATACTGGCTAAGTACTTTTACTTATAAATTGTCGCTGAAATCAGTATTGGAAGTTTATATTTATTATTATAATTAGCTACCTACTGGCACACTAGTGTAGAAGTATAGATTTTCCGTTACAAACAATTCCATTTGCACTGTTGGTGTTAGAGCATGTTCACATGACAAGCGTTCAACGCGCGGTTTCGCTAGCGCGCGCTTACAACTTACCGAATTTTGTACGTAAATCGCTGTAGGTGTTCACGCGCTCGACGCCGAGCACTCGTTAAAGCGCACTTCGAGATCATAGGTTTGCCGTACTGCCGTTCACACGAGCGCGCGTTTTCAAGCGGTGACACGTGTTTTGTAATTTAAATGGATTTTTTTTCTAGAAATGAGTTCAGAAGACTATAAACAAAGTTGAGAAACGTCCTGCAATATGCAATATGATAAGTAAGGATTATTCGAATAAGTTTTTTAAGGAGAAAGGCTTGAGAAGTACTTGTTCTTATATTCTGTCACGGGGATGACTATGACGAAAAGAAGAAAGCATTGGTTAAGTATATATGTATATACTTGCACTGAAACAGTGGCAACGCGCGCTCAACGCGCGAAAATCGCCCGCCATGTGTACACTATTCACAAACCTAACGCGCATTAGACGCGCGTTGAACGCTTGTCATGTGAACATACCCTTACAGTTTATAAACCGTTATATAACATGACTCACAAAAGGGCTTACACTTTAGATAAGTGTACTTAGGATAAGAACGGAGCGATTTCCGCACACGCTCTCGGCTGCGAGACAGTTGGTTTATTTCCATACTCATGAACAGCTAGCATCGCATGTTTGTGCGATAACTTAGGCGCCGCACAAACGTGTCTTGTATTGGATACAAGCAACCAGCAACTAAAAATGAATGAATATTCTATTTTCATACAAGTTCGGACACTGTCGCCAGTTGCCGCAAACGGTGTCGATGTCATATCAGTTCTATGAAAGTAGGGTATTCGTTCCTAATTGCCTTCTAACGGACCGCCGCGGTTGCGGAACGGACCGCAAACTTGGCTGGAGATTACCACAAGTCGCGCGGATATTTATGACGGCCGGGCCGCCAAGCGATAGCCGGTAGGTATCCTCAACATCTACCCCGCCGGCTACGTGGAGCAGCCGTCGTCCCCGCCACGAGCGTAAAACACATAGTGAATTGTACTAATAAATCTTACATACATATCTACACTCTACAGAAGCCGCAGTCCCGCAACCGTGGCGTGCGAGAACCCCGAGAGTTCTTAGCCCTAAGGTGACTTACCTGCACTGCGGCAATGGCGAACAAAAAAATCAAGAAACTCTTCATGGTTGACTATGTGCTGGCAACTGAATGTGGTGAAGTAAATTAATAAATTACAGCTAATTATTTATCATCAATATCGTACGTAATATCTATAACAACGATTTACACGTCGCTTTTTAATCCTTTGATAAAAGTCTGGAGTACCTATTAGGTTATTTGTTTAAACTACACACATCAAAAGTGTTTAGGGTTTTTGCCTGTCACACAAAATCAGGTTTTTTAATTAAGTAATTTTTCAAAACCGATATTTTTTTTTCAATTGTATAATTTGAATTTGAAAATGAAATAGGCCAAAAAATCCATCGGTGTTAAAAAAAATATTCATAGACTTGATTTTACTTGAACACAGTAATGTCTTCCGGTTTTGAAGTTGCTGGTGAAATTACAGGCACATGGGACTGGTCAACTTATGTCTCAGGATAACGGACACGGTGACAGTGCCCCTCGGATCTTTGCGATTTAAAGCTCTAAGTGGCACTGCAACTGTTATGGACAAGCGTGTAGCTGCCCATCAGGTGCACGGCTTGTTCGTCCCGTCACTAGATATTATAAAAAAAAATATTTTTATGGATTGGATTAACGCCTTCCACCCAAAAAAACTAATATATTGAGAGGTAATTTATAAATTTATAACATACAATAGTTTTAGTTTAGATTGTAACATACAATGCCATCTATTGGATTCACAAAATAATTTTAGCTCACGATCAATATTTGAATAAATAATATTACAAGGAAAAAACTGACTTCTTATAATACATAATAAAGAGAAATTAATTGTTATCCGCGGTCACACTTGTTTTGCTTAAGTTTATCCATCTAAAATAAAATAAATATCGGGTTCTTCCGATTACGCGATTGCACAATGGGAATGAACCTTTTTTCGGATCCAAATCGCGTATATTAGTTTTTTTTTAATAACTAATACAAAGATTCCTTCGACCTGAAAGGTCTTGAATTTGCGACTGCGCCAAACCAGGGTCACCGCTCTATCAACGGAGCTACAGGTTGAGGCAGCATAGATTTTTGTATCGAGTTTTTTCAGTTTTTGTAGCCGGAAGCGGCACCTGTGAGAGCCTTATGAAGTTTCCCACTAAATCTTTATTTTTTCTTTTCAAAAATGCTTTTGATTGAAAAAAGAAATAAACGCGATTTGGATCCCACAAAAAATAATTTCCAAATAAATAAGCTGTAATTTTATTCCTAGCTCGAATAACATGAGTTTATTGACGAAATGGTAACGATCGATTCTTTAATCGCGTTATTTTTGGCTTACGCGTTATTCTAATCTCTAGATAAAAAAATCCAAATGGTTAATTAGTGGGGAAATTTGCAACTTGAAACGATTAGACATCGTATCAAGGATGTTTTTTACTAATTACATAGAAAGTTAACAGAGGCTAATGATGTAGCGTGTACCTTCCTTCATCATCATCATCATTTGAGCAGAAAACGTCCACTGCTGGACATAGACCTCTCCCAACGATCGCCACAAAAACCGGTCTTGTGCTGCTTGCATCTAGCGGATTCCCGCAACATCCACCAGGTCCATCGTATGAGTACCTGCCTGCTCTACGTCTTCCAGTTGGCGATCGCCACTCGAAAACTCTTTGACCCCATCCACCCCATCAACTGCCATTTAAGTTATTTGCAATTCTATGTCGGTAACCTTAGTTTACATAATCGTGCTCTTAATACAATAGTGTATTAACTCAAAAGATGTTTTTCAGCATCGATGAAAAACGAGTTACTCATTTCCTGTAAAAGATCATTAAAATTTATTATAGGCTAAAGTTTTTTACTTATTAGACATATTAACAATTCCTGCTTGCCAAATATATTTAATAATAAAAGGGAAAAAAATAATTTCATATTTTTTACTAGGGATTATTTTGGCCAAAACCAGCTCACTAAGTTTGTCTCATTTTGAGTTAAGTGGATATCCACTGGATATCTTTTGTTTCTTAGAATATTCTAACAACGGTTTTAATGACGTCTAAAATTTATAAATTTATAAATTTATAAATTTTACGTGCGTGGAACGATATAATCTTGAATTTCACATATTTTGAGTTAGTGAGATTCTATTCTACCCCAAAAAATAACCATACTAAACTGCTCATTCAAACAAAAATAAACCAACAAGAACAAAGTGGATCAATCAATTATAGATTGATCGTCTCAGAGAGCAAAAGTCGCATTATTTATTTAATCCGTTATAATTAGCTCATTTTATGTTGAAATTTACTTATATTGCTCGCTGCTCGGCTGCCTCGTAATGGATTCTGCAGACAGTTCACAGTTCTTTACAGTCAGAGGTAGAATAGGCTGACTACATTCAATAGCACTTCAAGAAGTTACACAGAATCGATAATAGGTTCATCTAAAACCCCGGAACTAATCAACTTTTACTACAGAAGTGTATTTAGAAAAAAAAACGTAATTAGGTTATAAGCAAGAATACTGTACACATATTAAGGTGGCAATTTTTAGTATTCAAGTATATTATTTAAGGCTACTACACTCGAATGTTAAATAATACACTTCATAATAATAATCTAGAATATTAAATAAAAATTGACACCGAAATTAGATACGAGAAAACTAACCTCAAAAATTACCCGGATATATTTAGACGAACGCTTAAAAGGTTGAATAGCATTTAACAACGTTCTAAACTTACCATCTGCTTCAATACATTTGAATACACAATTTTTTTCATTGTGTGACAAACCTGGCACATCTACGCACAGGCGTAAGTACCTACACGAGCGGCAGTATCACACGAACTTAAAAGGCGTTGCGTTACTGCATGAGTAATACTGAGCCTTAGATGGAAAAAAATAGTGTAAGGCCAGAGCATTGTGTATATAACCAGAAATAGAGACTTAATGTCATTTAATTTGTTTGAAAACTATTCTGCCAAATCATTGCGGTGACAACTGCGCTCCGATTGGCCACCCCGAATTCGAAACAATTGACGGGTGTCGTCAATTGTTTCACACCGACCAGTTTAACTTGAGCTTTGCTATAATGGACGAAAATTGCAAAATTACTTATTTAATATTTAATCACCGATAAAATGTGAATACGATTGTTTTGTAATTAGATGTTTTGCTCTTTTTCCTACACTACCGAATGGAACAA